TGGAAGAATGAGATCTAAGAATCATGGTTTGAAGCCAGCTGGGTCAGGAAAGTCTGAAACACTCTTATCCTTAGTTAACCACGAGAAAGCCAGAAGTGGAACCGTGGCACAGGGGGTGGAGTGCTAGCCTTGAGGGAAGCTAAGGGAGAGCACCCAGACCCTGAGGTCCTGCCCCAGCACAGACACACAGAAAAGTGCTAAATAAACACACATAAAAATTCATGGAAGCACTGGGACCTAGACAAAGCATCAAACTTAGAAGCAAAATCAGCTCCCTCCAGGCTGCCCACCATCTCCTGTAGTTCATCTCCCCTGAACATGTTACAGAACAGCTCCTACCAGCTCCTGCCACATAGTGAACTTCCAACCTGGTTCTGTCACATGACTGGTGTGTGAGCTCAATGCCTGTGAGCTTCTATTGCTTTACCTGTACTGAGGATAGTAATTTCAACTTTACATGACCATTATGTGAGTTTCTGACACTTCAATTGTTATACTTCTTGTCACAAGTCTCCTACATCATTTTCAAGCATCAGGACAACGAGGTTCCATTGTTTTGAAACTCCTGAGGAGATGAAGGATCTTACCACTCATTGAGGTCGAGGATCCTAAAGATCTGCTTTCTCTAATAACAGCCACTCAGGTGTTCCTGATATCCACATGAGCATCCGTCCAACCACGAGAGCAGGTATCTCTATCAGTGTCCTTTCCTACTGTTCATGCTCAAAGAATGACTACCATACAATGAATGATCCAATGTACAATACATGAAATGCTGTGCACCCAGCCAATGTTCCTCTAACTTCACAGACAAGGAAAGGAGCTGGGGGTTCAATGTGTCTGCAGACTAAAACTGACCTGTGAAGAGAAGGGACCCTTTGAGCAGTTCTTTCCCCAGGACTTCTCTTTTCAGAAATGCAAATTCCTCCATCAAGAGTTCTATGTGCTCTTCATGCAAGACTTTTCCTGTCATGACAAAAACGGAATACACAAGGCAGTTAGGAGCACTGTGTACAGTTGCACATCTTGAGAGGCTTTGTCTGCCTCAGACAGGACAGGACACATGTCCCTTACACATATCGCCCTTTGCCAGGTGCCAGTGGCTCACATCTGTAATCCTAGCTACTCT